ACTTCCCAAATCAGTTGCTTTGTTCAGGCACATCATTCCCTAATCCTAATGTGACTCAACAATACAGCTTCACCTCCTGTAATTATGTGGTCTGACAATCTGCTCTGAATCATAAAGATGAAAATGTGGTAACCGGATTTGCTAGCAGGGACATTCTGTCTGTGGTGAAATGTGAATGTTAGGCACTCTCCAGAAACTTGGGAGTTGTGCATTTGTTCCTAAGAGAGCTTCAAAGACAAATAAAAAAGTAAAAATTGCTGGACAAGGAGTGAGAAACGGAGTGTCATCAGACAGGCTGATGTGCTGTTGTGCTGAACCCCTCCCAACTTTAATGGGGATGGCAGCAGGTTTGAGACGCTGAAGAAGAGCCCCAGAATCACTGAAAGAGACATGGGCTTTTGCTGGGGGCTTTCATGCAGGGGAGAGAGCCTAGTCGCAGCAGCCTGGGCAGGAGGACCATAACCACTTATGAAAAACATGCAATCGCAACCTTCACTTAACCCAAGATAAAGGGTCTCCATCCCTCGTACAGCCTGCGTTCCTGTCCTGGGGCTCACGTGTTCCCTGTAGATAAGAAATGACACTTAAGGTTGCCGCTCCTGGATTCTAGCTGAGAACTTCAAACTGCATTGAGGGGCATCCACCACATGGTTCATTCTCAGGATATGCTTAAGTGACTGCTATCAGCTGGGTTTACCATACATATGGCACTTATTAAAATTTCTATTTTGACAAAATAAACTACGTCCCTGAATTGATGCATTGTATTGTTGCATGTGTTCCATTTTCTGTCATGATACAAAGAGTTACAGTCATTCTTTCCTAGTGGATATGCAAATGAAATCTGCTATCTCCGGAAGAGGGGCAAATTTTAATACTAATCGCAACTCTTCTCTCTAGATCGTCTTCCCAGCTTAGAGTTATCAATGTTTTTCTAGCTTGGTCATTTTGTTTTTTTTTTTTTAGTAAGAGAAGCTCCTGGTATTTTTATTTCTAGGTCACTCAACTTAATGCCCCAACACTTAACCCCATCTCACTTCTCTCCTTTAGGGTTCCCTGGTTTACTTCCCACCCTCACAGGAACTCCTCACAGATCTCCTTTTACCTGATAACGCACATTTTCAGAAAGGGTTCTAGGAAACAAACTCACCTAGATTTTCCAGCATATATAGTCATAGTAACTGTATTTAGATTTAGAAGAAAAATTTTGAGAACATATGGTCAAATTTTCTCATTCTACAGAATTTTTTAAAAGTACGGGCTGCAAATGCTTCTTTAACTTGCCCAAGTCCACACAGTTTGATAATGTCAAAATCCTTTTTTTTTTTTTTTCTTTTTTTCCTAGAAAAGCTCAGCTTCTGTAATCCTTTTCTATTTCTCTTTCCTGGAAATTAGAACAACGTTTTTGAAGGAAGAAATATTGCCAACATTATAACCTTGAGTGAAGCATTATTACTTTAGTAAATATTTTGCTAAGATATTGATCAAAATTAAAAATCAAACAATTTTTAAATATATTTGCATTTTACACTGTGTACTTCTGAACATAGCATTGTCACTTTTATTAAAATTCCATGAACCACTGTGTACTTTGGTTTCACAAACTCAACACCATACCAATAAGGAAATTACTCATAATTTCATGATACTAATTGATTGGCTGTCATCTGCAACTATGAACCAGCAAGGCATAGAAAGAATTGTTTGAAAAAAAGCCTAGTTAGTATCAGTTGCATTGATTCTGACTCCCAATAATTTAGATCATTTTTTTCTTACAAAAAGTTGAAAAAATATTATTGTAGAAAACTTAGCACCTTTAATAAAACATGCTTTTTTTACATTTCTTCCTTTATCTTTCAGAAGTCAATTCTCTACAGGTTCTTTTTGTGAAAGTCTCTCAGGCCTTATTTGTCTGAAAATGGTATTATTTTGCATAATTCTTTTAAAGGCAATATTGGTGGGTAAAAATTTGAAGTTGGTGGTTATTTTCTTGCAACATTTTGAAGATACCCTGTAGTTAAGTAATATTTCAGTCTGTTTTTGCTTCTTTTAAGCTTATCACTTTTTTCTGTCTGCTTTGACAATCTACTCATTATCTTTTGTGTTCCACAGTATTACTATAATGTGCCTAGTTATAGATTCCTTTTTATTTATCCTTCTTAGAATTTGTTCCTTGTATCTGGGAATGGGCATCTTCCATTAGTTCTGAAAAATCTTCACATAGCACTTCACCAAATATCACTTCTAATCTATTACTTCCTCTTCTTTCTCTGTTCTTCACCCATATCGCATTTCTGTCCTCTGTGTCTGTTCACTCTCTGCTGCCTTCCGGTTAATTTTTTTCAAGTCTGTCATTTAACTTGCTAATTTTCTATTCAACTTTATTTAATCTAATGTTTAACTCTTCACTGAATTTCTAATTATAGTTTTCTCTTTTTATAGGTTTCCTTTGGTTCCTTTTTAAATATTCCTGGCCATTTTTAATTAACACATAAAACACCTTTAATAATCTGCATCATAAATTTTAATATCTCTAGTGTGCAAGTCTGATTCTGCAGTTTATTGATTCTGGAAACTTATGCATTTGGTTACTTCCTTGTATGTTTGCCTTTTTGACTATCATGCTCCTTGGACTTTTACTTATGGAAACGTTTTTGATATTGCTTTAAGAGCTCATTTATTTACACTTGGTTTTCTGAGATACCTGAAGATATTACCTTAGCAATACATTCAACTTCATATTTGGCTAAAGATTTTGTTTTTGTTTTTATTTTGTTGGCTAATGTCCCTTAAACCTGTGTTAGTCCATGTATAAGATTAGGACATCTCAACAGAGATTTTCTTCCTTTTTCTCTGCACTCGATGCTAAAACTGATGTTGTCAAATCTCCCACTATACTCATGACCCTAACGTGGGTCCCTCCATGTCTCACACATGTGGCTCATTCAAATCCAAGCTCTAAATAGTTCTCCAGAGTGTTCTTGAATCTGCATTCATCAGCATCACCCAGAAACTCACGCTTGTAATCCCAGCACTTTGGGAGGTTGAGGCGGGCAGATAACTTTAGGTCAGGAGTTTGAGATCAGCCTGGCCAATACGGTGAAACACCATCTCTACAAAAAATACAAAAATTAGCTGAGCGTGGTGGCACACACCTGTAATCCCAGCTACTTGGGAGGCTGAGGCACAAGAGTTGCTTGAACTCAGGAAGCAAAGGTTGCAGTGAGCCAAGATCAAGCCACTGCACTTCAGCCTTGATGACACAGGAAGACTCAGTCTTAAAAACAAAAAAACAAAAGTAATACAAATTCTGGGTTCACATGCCTGACCTACTGCATCAGAAACCTGAAGAGGGGCCCAGTAATCTGTGTTCTCAAAAGCTCTCCATCTGAAGATGCATGCTTAAACTTGAGAACTGTTGTTCTTGAGTCTAGGTCACCTGGGGTTGGCAGATGCCTCAAAGCAACTATTGATTTCAGTGCTTGCTTAGAACTCTTGAACCAGGCACTTTTGTCATTTCTCATTACTAAGAATTTCCCTTACAAAAGCACCAGCTCAACCATGTATTCAAGAATTATATAGATGCAAAGATGGCCAAATAGGAACAGCTCTGGAATGCAGTTCCCAGCAAAAACAATCCAGAGGGTGAGTGATCACCACATTTCCAAACAAGTTTTCACTGCCCATATACCGGGAGATTCCCAGGCCAAAAAGTGCCACGAAATTCCAGCATGGCTGTTTCAGCCAGTGCCACAGGTTGGCACACAGAAACTCACACAAATCTAGGCAGCCATTTCAACTGGTGCCTGGAACACCTGGGAGAGAGAGCCACCCATTCAACTGAAGGGGAGGGGGCTGAGACAGGGAGCCAGGTAATCTGGCTTGTTGGGTACCATACCCACAAAACAAGCAATCTGAAATGCTGTGGATTGAGAGTTTTGCAGCAAGTGCACCTGGACTGGGGACAGCCCAGCTTATTGGGGGGGAGGGCGTCTGCCATTACCAAGGCAGTCCACCACTACTGAGGCAGACCACCAATACCATAGCAGTTCTAACTATACCTCTATAAACAACACCTCAAGGAAGTTCACATAACAGCTGGGCAGAGCCCGCAGCAGCTGGGCAACACCTCTGCTGGCAGACTGTGACTAGATTATCTCCATGTTGGGCAACTGAGAAAACGCACCAGCATATAAGGAACTTAAAAATAAAGCCTGGCCTTCCTAGGACAAAGCATCTGGGAAAAGAGGCAGTTATTAGTTCTGCTGCAGCAGACTTAAATGTACCTACCAGCAGCTCTGCACAGAACAACAGAGCTCCCAGCACAGCACTTGAGCTCCTATAAGGGACAGACTGCCTTCTCAAACAGCTCCCTGACCCCCGTATACCCAAAGAGACACCTCATAAAGGAGAGCTCCGCCTGACATCAGGTGGGTACCCTTCTGGGATGAAGATAACAGAAGAAGAAACCGGCAGCAACCCTTACTGTTTTCCAGCCCCCGCAGGTGAGCAGGGTCTGGAGTGGACCTCCAGCAGTCCTACAGCAGAGAGGCCTGACTGTTAGAAGGAAAACTAAAAAACAGAAAGAAATAGATTCAACATCAACAAAAAGGATGTCCACTCAGAGACCCCATCCAAAAATCACCAACTACAACAACCACAGGTAGATAAAGCCACAAAGATGGGAAGAAACAAGTGCATAAAGAATGAAAACACCAAAACCCAGAACGTTTCTCCTTTTCCAAGGGATCACAACTCCTCACCAGCAAGGGAACAAAGCTGGAAGGAGAATGAGTCTAATGAATTGACAGAAACAGGCTTCAGAAGGTGGGTAATAACAAACTTCTCTGAGCTAAAAGACCATGTTCCAACCCAATGTAAAGAAACTAAGAACCTTGAAAAAAGGTTAGACAAAATGCTAAGGAGAATAAACAGCTTAGAGAAGAATATAAATGACCTGATGGAGCTGAAAATATGAGAACTTCACAAAGTATACACAGGTTTCAATAACTGAATTGACCAAGCATCAGAAAGGATATCAGAGATTGAAGATCAACTCAATGAAGTAAAATGAGAAGGCAAAATTAGAGAAAAAAGAGTGAAAAGAAATGAACAAAGCCTCCAAGAAATAGGGAATTACGTGAAAAGAGCTAACCTATGTTTGATAGGTGTACCTGAGTATGATGGAGAGAATGAATCCAAGCTGGGAAACACTCTTCAGGATATTGTCCAGGAGAAATTCCCCAACCTAGCAAGGCAGGTCACCATTCAAGTCCAGGAAATACTGAGAACACCACAAAGATACTCCTCCAGAAGAGCAACCCCAAGGCACATAATCTTCAGATTCACCAGGGTTGAAATGCAGGAAAAAATGCTAAGGGCAGCCAGAGAGAAAGGTCAAGTAACCCACAAACGGAAGCCCAGCAGACTCACAGTGGATCTCTCAGCAAAAACCCTACACGCCAGAAGAGAATGGGGGCCAATATTCAGTATCGTTAAAGAGAAGCACTTTCAACCTAGAATTTCATATCCAACCAAACTAAGCATCATAAGTGAGGGAGAAATAAAATCCTTTACAGACAATCAATTGCTGGGAGATTTCATCACCACCAGGCCTGCCTTACAAGAGCTCCTGAAAGAAGCACTAAACAAGGAAAGGAACAACCAGTACCAGCCGCTCCAAAAATGTACCAAATGGTAAAGACCATTGAAACAATGAAGAAAATTTGTGAACTAATGGGCAAAACATTCAGCTACCATCAAATGGCAGAATCAAATTCACACATAACAATATTAACCTTAAATGTAAATGGGCCAATGGCCCCAATCAAAAGACACAGGCTGGCAAATTGGATAAAAAGTCAAAACCCATCCATGTGCTGTATTCAGGAAACCCATCTCAAGTACAAGGACACAGGTAGGCTCAAAATAAAGGGATGGAGGAATTTACCAAGCAAATGGAGAGCCAAAAAAAAAAAAAAAAAAAAAAAAAAGTGGGAGTTGCAATCCTAGTCTCTGATAAAGTGGACTTTAAACCAACAAAGATCAAAAGAGACAAAGAAGAGCATTACATAATGGTAAAAGGATCAATGCAGCAAGAAGAGCTAATGATCCTAAACATAAATGCACTCAATACAGGAGCACCCAGATACATAAAGCAAATTCTTAACACCTACCAAGAGACTTAGACTCCTACACATTAACAGTAGGAGACTTTAACACTCCACTGTCACTATTAGACAAATCAATGAGACAGAAAATTAAGATCTGGACCAAGTAGACCTAATAAACATCTACAGAACTCTCCACCACAAATCCACAGAATATACATTCTTGTCAGCACCATATTGCACCTACTCTAAAATTGACAACATAATTGGAAGTAAATCACTCCGCAGCAAATGCAAAAGAATGGAAATCAAAACAGTCTCTCAGACCACAGTGCAATCAAATTAGAACTCAGGATTAAGAAACTAACTCAGAGCCACACAACTTCATGCAAACTGAACAACTGGCTCCTGAATGTCGAATGGATAATGAAATGAGGGCAGAAATACACATGTTCTTCTAAACCAACAGGAATGAAGACACAACATACCAGAATCACTGGGACACATTTAAAACAGTGTCTAGAGGGAAATATAGCACTAAATGCCCACATAAGAAGCAAGGAAAGATCTAAAATCGACACCCTATTATCAAAATTAAAAAAGAGCTGGAGGAGCAAGATCAAAAAATCTCAAAAGCTAGCAGAAGACAAGAAATAACTAAGATCACAGCAGAACTGAAGGAGATAGAGACACAAAAAAAAAAAACTGAAAAAAAATCAGTAAACCCAGGAGCTGGTTTTTTGAAAAGATATGTAATCCCAACTCTCCTTAAACTGATAAGCAACTTCAGGAAAGTCTCAGGATACAATGTGCAGAAATCACAAGCATTCCTATACACCAATAACAGACTAAAAGAGAGCTAAATCATGATCAAACTTCCATTCACAATTGCTACCAAGAGAATAAAATACCTAGGAATACAACTAACAAAGGATGTAAAGGACCTCTTCAAGGAGAACTACGAACCACAGCTCAGGGAAATAAGAGAGGACACAAACAGATGGAAAAACATTCCATGCTCATGGTTAGGAAGAATCAATATTGTGAAAATGGCTGCACTACACAAAGATATTTGTAGATTCCACACTGTCCCGATCAAGCTACCAGTGACCTTCACAGAACTGGAAAAAATAACCTTAAACTTCAAAAGAGAGCCCACATAGCCAAGACAATCCTAAGCAGAATGAACAAAGCCAGAGGCATCAAGCTACCTGACTTCAAACTATACTACAAGTCTACAGTAATCAAAACATCATGGTACTGGTACCAAAACAGAGATATAAACCAATGGAACAGAACAGAGGCCTCAGAGGCAACACTACACATCTACAACCATCTGATCTTTGACAAACCTGACAAAAACAAGCAATGGGCAAAGGATCCTCTGTTTAATAAATGCTATTGGGAAAACTGGCTAGCCATGTGCAGAAAGCAGAAACTGGACCCCTTCCTGACACCTTACACTAAAATTAACCCCAGATGGATTAAAGACTTAAACTTAAGACCTAACACCATAAAAACCCTAGAAGAAAGCCTAGGCAAAACCATTCAGGACATAGGCATAGGCAAGGACTTCATGACTAAAACACCAAAAGCATTGGCAACAAAAGCCAAAATAGACAAATGGGATCTAATTAAACTCCAGAGCCTCTGTACAGCAAAAGAAACAATCATTACAGTGATCTGGCAACCAACAGAATGGGAAAAAAATTTTTGCAATCTACCCATCTGACAAAGGGCTAATCTCCAGATTCTACAAAGAACTAAAACAGATTTACAAGAAAAAAAACAAACCCATCCAAAAGTGGGAGAAGGATATGAACAGACATTTTTCAAAAGAAGACATATATGAGGCCAACAAACAAATGAAAAATGCTCATCATCACTGATTATTAGAGAAATGCAAATCAGAACCACACAGATACCATCTCATGCCAATTAGAATGACCATCGTTAAAAAATCTGGAGACAACAGCTGCTAGAGAGGATGTGGAGAAATAGGAACACTTTTATACTGTTGGTGGGAGTGTAAATTAGTTCAACCATTGTGGAAGACAATGTGATGATTCCTCAGGGATCTAGAAATAGAAATTCCATTTGACCCAGCAATCCCATTACTGGATATATACCCAAAAGATTATAAATCATTCTATTATAAAGACACATGGACACGTATGTTCATTGTGGCATTGTTTGCAATAGCTAAGACCTGGAACCAACCCAAACACCCATTGATGATAGACTGGACAAGAAAAATGTGGCACATATATGCCATGGAATACTATAGCCATAAAAAATGACGAGTTCATGTCCTTTGTAGGGACATGGATGAATCTGGAAACCATCATTCTCAGCAAACTTGCACAAGAACAGAAAATCAAATACCACATGTTCTCACTCATAGATGGGTGTTGAACAGCGAGAACACATAGACACAGGGCAGGGAGTCATCACACACTGGGGTCTGTTGGGGGTAGCCAGGGGAGGGACAGCAGGAGGGTGGGGAGGTTAGTGAGGGATAACATGAGGAGAAATGCCAGATATAGGTGATGGGGGGATGGAGGCAACCAACCACATTGCTATGTATGTACCTATACAACAACCCTGCATGGTCTGCACATGTATCCCAGAACCTAAAGTACAATTTTTAAAAAAAAGTATATAGATGCATACATATGTACGTACATATAGACAACACATATCTACAGATATATGCACACACACACATATAGGTATGTATATGTGTATACACAAACCTATATGTGTGCATATGTATGTCTGTAGGTATGTGCTAGCTATATGTATAGACATGTATATGCATGTATGTATATATACATATATGTGTTTGCATATCTGTAGGTATATGCTATGTGTATGTATGTATGCACATACATATATATGTGTGTGTATATATATCTCTAGGTATGTACTAAGTATCTATGTATGCATGTATTTACCTATCTAATCACACACACATGTCTGTATACACACACATATACACATATACATGTGTGCACATATATACATATGTGTGCATATATACACATTTATGTGTATCTATACACTTACATGCATTTCTAATACTTAGTCTGTAAAGATACATATGAAGTTGACCTCAGAAATGATCTTGGAGGAGTGAAGGAGCAGCACAGTTGAGTTCTGAAGAGTTTAATATTCTGCTTTCTAAATGTGTGTCATTGAGTTTGCATACACACATATAATGAATTTTTTTATATTTATAAAACACACTTTCATTAAAAAAAAAGAACTAAATGGACTATATATGCTGCTAAGTTCAGTAGCATGTTTCAAACAGTAATTTTCTCCTTACCTCTATCTCCAAAGCCTTTGGTGGCTTTTGGTAAAAATGGCACTTTTCCATCATATTTTTACAGAAAGCACTAGCACTTTGACTCTAGTTCCACAATTGCCTTTACACAGAATATTCAATAAGCATATATGGGATGCTCATTCCTCAGGAAACTGGACCCTTGCAGTTCTAAATCAAGCAGACCTATATTGCACTTTAAAATATTAATGATGTCTTTTGTCAGATGAAATTGTATGTGGAAATGTTTGGAAAGTAGAAAGCACTAAGCCAGTTGAGAGATCTAATGATAATATTAAAGTTATTATAATTATTTTACTAAATTTTTCTGAATACATGAACCATTTGTAGCACGTACCTTGTATTTCCTGAGAGGCAGAATTTTCTTCCTGCCCCATTATTTTCTTTGCATATTAAAGTATCGTGTGACATGCTGTCTTGTAAGTGGCTGGACATAAGGGACATTCTATCTTTCAGAATGCCATGCAGCAGTTCATGCATTATATTCATAAGCACGATTTTTCATTTAATTTTTTTGACAAGTGCAGTGAAGAGTAAAATCAGGCAGTCATAATTTTGACTTTGCCATCACTCAAATGAGCTTAGTGATTGACCAGCTTTAAGCAAAATAGCAGGAATCAGGAAAAGCAGCTTTCTCCTGA